TGGGAGGAAAGAGATTAACCAAAGAATTTATGTGCATATATGCATGACCCACGGACACAGACAATAGTGTGGTGAAGGCCTGGGGCGGGGAGTGGGTGCGGGGTGGAAAGAGTCAGTGTGGGGAAAAAGGGGACATCTGTAATTCTTTCAACAATAAAGATAAAAAAATTTTTAAAAAACAGTATTATAAAATTTAGGTTATAACTGTATTATATTATAAATTGTTATCCTAAATTTATAACAGACTTGCAACCTAAAGAAAGTATTTATACAGAAAGGCTTACCTTCATCCACAGAAAACTGACAGCTCTTATCATTGAAGAAGAGGATTTTCTTCTTATCAGGACGATTTACAAATAATATCTGGTCCCCTAAAGCCTTAAAGATACAGAAAATTTTTTCCGTTAACTCCAAGTTACTTCACTATCACCACCACCAATTTTTTTTTTTTTTACACAGCAAAGGATTCCCATTTCTTTTAACCCTCAGTATACCATTAGGGTTCACTAGTCCCAATTTTAGTTCTTGAGTTTCCTTCTTGAGCAGTTCTGACTATTATTAAGGACCGATATTTCAAGACTTTTAGCCTTAGATGTCTTCCAAAGTACAAAAAAAAAACTTATGTTTTAAAAACAGAATAAATTCAATGTGTGGCAATTATGATTTGAGTCAGAAAAATGGTAGGGTCTTAGTGTTTTTACTTTACCTTGAAATATTTTGCTACTAGCTCATCATTACACCTCAATTATTTCCAGTTGTGCTTTAAAAAGCTAAAATAAGAGAATGGGAGAATAATCGAATCACCTAGGACTGTGATGCTATAATGAAACAGCCATATTTCAGTTTTCTTATTCCACTGTCCAAAGTATTACATCATCTTTCAAGGAAATATAAAAGAATAAAGAGTCTTTGTTGCCTTTAACCTTCTTGAGCGTAGTGACAATTCAGAATTTTTTATTTTCTACTACTTAGAGCAATGACAAGAAAAAACCTGAGATGTTTCACTATTATTAATGAATGAGAACAAGAATGCAAAGAGTCTGAGAGCAGCACTCCCAGTAACAATGACAACAGTAAAGTCATCACAGAAGCAGCCTCAAACTCTAAGTGTTTAGATGACACCACCACAGATGAATAATCTCAATCTTCAGGATCAGTAAGTGAACAATATATTTCTAAAGACATAGAAATAAAGTATTTTTATCCAGTTAGTTATTCAACAAGAAGGACTTCATCATACAATATTATGTGATAAGAACCTTTGCCATCTCACTTTGCTAAAAGGACATGTAATAGTCTTCTTTCATCTTTCTGATGTACATTTGTCAAAATGTACTTGTTACACAGGTTTGCTATGCTTATTAAGATGTCTAATAAAGAAAGCTGTTATTCACCATTCCTTTATTTTTATGTAAATTATTCAGAACATGACTTAAAATATTTTTTAAAATAATAAAATAGGCTCCACTGGACCCAGGTGGTAAGAACAAAATAAAAATTCTGGGATTCAAACAATTTAGAAATAATCCCGCCTGAAAATGAAAGAAGACTGTGTGGCTGGGCCGGCATGGCTCAGTGGTTGAGCATGACCTATGATCCAGGAGACTGTGGCTCAATTCCCAGTCAGGGCACATGCCCGGGTTGCGGGCTCAATCTCTGATGGGGGACATGAAGGAGGCAGCTGATCAGTGACTCTCTCATCATTGATGTTTCTCTCTCTCTCCCCCCCCTCCCTTCCTCTCTCTGAAATCAATAAAGACATTAAAAAAAAAAAAGAAATAAACTGTGTGCTTTCCAAGACCCCTTCAGCTCCAATCCTTAGGGAATAGAGCCACTAAAGATAAGGTGTCAAAGTAACTACATCACAAAATTGTTTAAAACAGAATTAGCAATTATCAGTTTACTCCATTGTTCTACTTTAGAATGTAATGAAAAGCCTACTGTATAGTAATAATACTGGTCTCTATGAAAATGGGGGGGGGGGAGGAGACACACCTAGCACTCTCAACTGTTAAGCTAGGATTCAGCAGTTCTACGTTTTAACATCTGTAAAGTACACAATTTATAAACTTTGGTCACATTTTATTTGAAACATTTGTGCAGGTTAAGTTTAGACAATTTTAAGTAAAAAAATCTTAAAAGGGTCCTGCTTCTAGTAATGGGCAAGTAGCTCCTAAGGGATCAACCCTCCCACAGGAAACTACTATTAACTCTGGACATTTTTTTAAAAGTAAAAGAGCGAAAAGAACAAAATAGATCATATGCTACCCACTGCAAAGAAGAAAGAGTTTAGAGTGGAGTTTAGCCAAGATAACTGCCCACTTAACAAAACAGACAAGCAAAAACATTCTTTGGAGGAACAAAACAGAATCCTGAGTCTTTATACATACAGTTCACAATGTTCAATAAGCAAAAGAAATTTATTAGATATAGGAAGAAACAGGAAAACATGATCCATACTCAAGAGATAAAGAATCAGTGCAGACCAGCCCAAGATGAAATTAGAAGAAGAGGATTTTAAAGCAGCCATAAGAAATTATACTCAAGGGAATAAAGGAAAATTTGCTTGTAATGAATGAAACAGAATTTCAACAGAGACATGGAAACCATAAAGAATGGGAAGTCTGGAAATGAAAAATACAATCTCTAAAATAAAAAATTCACCAACAGGGCTTAACAAACTGGAGGTAAAGATACCTCAGTGGACTTAACAATAGATCAATAGAACAAACAAACAAACAGGTTAGAAAAAAATATCTAAACAGAGCCTCAGGAACTTGTGGGACAATACCAAAAGGTCTAATATATGTAACTGAATTACCAAGAGGTAGAGGAGAGAAAGGAGCAAGTTTTACAAATAAAAAGAAAAAAACCTGCTTACAGATTAGCATCAATCATCAACTGTCAAGAATAGAGACTAGCAGCCTTTCCATGTATGAGTTCCAAATTTAAACTGGAAATGTAATCTGTATGGCTTTTTTTTTAAATCTTCACCCAAGGATATGCTTTTATTAATTTTGAGAGAGAGAGGAAGGGGGGGAGAGAGGGAGAGAGAAACACAGATCAGTTGCCACCTATATGTGCCCCGAACAGGGAGTGTTCCCACAACCTAGGTATGTGCCCTGACCAGAAATCAAACCCACAACCTTTTGGTGTAGAGGATGATGCTCCAAGCAACCGAGCCTCCCAGCCAGGGCTCTATGACTTTTACTGATAGACCCTTTAGGAATTCAAAACACCCAGATTCTTAGACAATGCTTTTGTGTTTTAATGCCTCTGGTTCCTCAGGTTAGCATTGTTTACTAGCACTGTTGAAGCAGTTCTTGCATACAAACATAAAAACACTAATGCCTTTGAGGAAAACTTTCCAGAAATATTCTGAAGAGTCAATCACAGGCAACACTACCACAAAAGGGAGCTCTCCCGGATACACAAAAAATGGCTGCACTCTGTCCTGGTCTGCAGCACAAATACAAATTTTAAATTTTCAACTGTCTCACCATAACTCAAGTATACATGATGGAGGCTTTAAAAATAAAAATTTAGCCCTGGCCGGTGTGACTCAGTTGGTTGGAGCATCATCCCATACACCAAAACGTTGTGCGTTTGATCCCCAGTTGGGGCTCGTATGGGAGGTGGCCAATCAATGTTTCTATCTTATGTTGATGTTTCTTTCTCTTTCTTTCTCTTTCTCCCTCTCTCTCTAAAATCAACAAACATATCCTCAGGTGAGGATAAAAAAATAAAATAAAAATTTAAAAATTCTTGCTGTTTTTTAAAACCAAGATGACATTATTAATTCACATTATATTAAAGCATAGAAAGAACAACAGTTACCTTGACAGCTTTCTGGGAATTGGGCAGTCCTTCCTCTATGTCTTCTAAAAGAATTCCTCCCAAGCCTCGCTGGTCATGCTTATCTAAGAGCCTAAGCAGGGCCTTCTTATCTTTTAAGTTGTACTTGGGCTTGAACGCATACTTCCCATCTATTACTTCAATTTTGGGATTATTGACTAATGCCTGTAACAGTGACACAATTTGGATATATTAACAAAAGGAAACCTCCTATATATATTCTTAAATCCTACTAATTATTTTTAAAATACAATACCCAATACAATGGCAAATTAAAAGTATCCTGGGAATAACAACTAGCAGATTTAAAATACTGGACATCCATGATCCAAAACAATAGACTATAGAGATCAGCACGGTGCTCACTTTTTGTAAAAAAACCTGTTTATTATTTACATAAATTCTTTAGATTAGAAAAAATCCATTTTATCACAACTGCTTTGAAGAAAGCTATACTCATATCCTTTTGGAAAACCAAACAAGTAAGAATCAACACAATAGCTATTAACATTAATAGACAAAGTGAACTAGTGGGTATCCCACCCTCAAAGTATAGTTTATTGCATATTGGCATTATGTGAGAAACACTACCCTGGGGTCAATATATCAACTCTCAGTCTGCCCCACTCGGTATCAAATGGCACTAGCAGCTGCGGAAGGAACTGAAAGGGACCAAACTAGTGCATTTAAGAAATTTACCTATAACATCAGCTCTAGAATGAAACTGAGTAGGAATACAGGAATTACTGATATACTTATGTTCCTAGTCAGTTCCGTTGTACAGCTAATATCAAAAGAAAAGCTCATTAAAAAAGAGCAACCCTATTTATTTTCTTTTGCAGCTGCCAGCCTGAAAGGAAAATGAAAAAAATAAACAAAGAAGGGAGACTAAAACAGTAATAAAAAATATATATATAGTAATAAATAGAACCCTTAACTAATGTCCATAGTCTGTGAAATTCCAAGATTAGGCATAGCAACAAAATTTGAAAGTGAATTACCATTATTTGTATATCACTAATATAATGAGCTACAATGATAGTGATTAACTGGTTCACTTATATTACGAAAATCAAGAACAATATTTTGCTTGGTAAAATAAACTAACTGAATTACATTTTAAGAATTTTACAGTTGGTCTTTAGAATATAGCACTAGTCCTAGAAAAGAGTCTTCTTAATTGTCATTTCATACTTAAACAGAAGAGAAGCAAATATCTGAATTTTTTTAATGCTGTTCGTTTCCAAATTAGCATGGTCACTGATTGGTTTGCGGTTCCTTTTCTTCCTATGTTGTGTGTACATACACAATGTTCATGATTATTCTTCCAAGTCACTGCTAGAGGCAGTAATATCACTATCAAGTCATAAGAGTAGTAATAATATAGCAAATATCTCACTTAACGAATATCTTGCTATACCTACAATACCTCATGCTTTCAATGTCCTAAAACATATATAAACAATACAATTTTCCAACAAATACATTATAAATTCAGCAATTCAAAATAAGCAACAATAATTCTCTAAAAACTTAAATGGAATTGATACAATGCTTGACTTTTTTAAAACTTTTATGTTAAAGTCTTTGACATTTCTAAATAGATATATAAGGTTATATGAATACCAAATTAAATAATCTTAAAATATATCTGTTTACAAAACAAAAACAATGACCCTATACCAATTCTTTTATAAAAAAGTAAAAACAATGATCAGTTTCAGTGTATTAAAAACCCTAGTTACAGCACGTATTTCATGGTAATCAACAAATTTTTTTTACAATATTTTAAGCCTAGTCTTACCTCAGTCATTAGCCATTGTTTCTGCTTGAGTCCAATATCTAAATGTTGAGTTTCATCCAAAATTTCTTCTAAAGTTAGAGGATGCGTATCTCCTCGCTGATGACGTGTCTATTGGGGGAAAATATTATCATAAGAAGACAGTTTTAAAATGCTACATGCATTAAATAATAGTTACAAGTAAATCATTTCAGGAACGTAGAACATGTATTATTTGAAGCAGAACAATTACAATGATGAAGAGGATGGACTATAAAATCAGAGAGAACCAGGTTCAAACTTGGAGTTCTATAAAATCAAATGTTAAATTGAGAGAAAATATTTGCAACAAACATCACAGGGAGCTAATGTTTCTAACATTTTAGGAGTTCTAAAAACCTAACAGGAAAATGACCCAAAGATAGGAACACATAAATCACAAAAAGAGAAATGCAAATGACCTTAAACATGAAAAGATACTCATCTTCCACCAAGATGTTTACCTATTACACTGACAAAAACCCATGTGACAGACGGTGAGGCTGTGAGAAAACAGGCCCTCACACACTACTGTTATGAATACTAATTGAAGAGCATTTGAGATCTTGCTCCCCAGTATACGTCCTTAGTTTGACTCAAATATACTTGTATAAAAATTTTTTTAAATACTTTTTTTTTTTTAGAGAGAGAAACAATTTGTTGTTTCACTTATTTATGCATTCTTGTATAAATAAGATTCTTGTAAGTGCCCTGACCCCAGGGATCAAACCCGCAACCTAGGCATACCGGGAAAATGCTCTAACCAACTGAGCTACCCAGCCAGGGCAAAAAAAATACTAATTTATACAACTCAAGGGAGGGCAATTTTACAGTATAAATATATTTAAACCTTGTCACTCAGCAATCCCATTTCTAGGAATTTACCTTACAGGTATACAGGACAACATAGAAAAGTGACAAGGTAGCAGCAGCGTTTGTAAAAGGAAAATATTAGAAACAACCCATATGGTCAATTAAATACACTGAAGCACGACTGTGCTACTATACAGATGTTAAAAAAGAAAATGCAGATGTTCTCTATGTGCTAATTTCAAAAGATGTCCAGGACAAATTATTAAATTAAAAAACATATGTAGACACCAAATGTTGGTGAGGAATGGGAGGAACAGAAACTTTCATTCACTGCTGGTGGAAATGCAAAATGGCACAGCTGCTCTGGAACACAGTTTGACAGTTTCTTTTAAAATTGAACATACTCTTATCATATGACCTAGCAATTATGCTCCTTAGTATTTACTCAAAGGAGCTGAAAACTTATTTTCAAAGACCTGTACACAGATGTTTGTAGCAGTTTTATTCATAATTGCTAAAACTTGGAAGCAACCAATATGTCCTTCAGTAGGTGAACAGATAAACTGTGGTACATCCAGTGAAATGTTATTCAGCACAAAACCAAATAAAATAACAAGTCATGAAAAGACATGGTGGAACCTTAAATGCCTATTACTCAGTGAAAGAAGCCAATCTGAGAAGGCTACATACCAACTATATGACATTCCAGAAAAGGCAAAACTATGGCGGCAGTAAACACTTCAGTGGTTGCCAAGGGTTAGAGAGCAGGAGGGATGAAGAGGCAGAACAGAGGATTTTTAGGGCAGTGAAACGGTTCTGCATGATACTATGATGATGAACACATTCATTATATACTTGTCAAAACCCATACGATGTACACCACCAAGAGTGAATCCTAATGTAAACTAGGAACTTACAACGATAATGATGTATTAATGTAGACTCACAGATTTTAATAAATGTACAACTAAGGTGCAAGATGTCCACAGCACGGGAGGTTGGGGGTGGGGGCAGGGAACATATGAGAACTCTGCTTTCTGTCCCATTATTATAAACCTAAAACTGCTCTAAAAAAAATAAAATCAATTAAAAAACAACTTGTATACATACACAATAGAATATTATTTAGCTATTAAAAGCAGTAAATCTTGCCATCTGCAGCAACATTGTTGAACCTCGATGGCAATATGCTAAATAAAATGTCAGAGAAAAACAAATGCTGTATGATCCCACTCATATGTGGAATAAAAAAAACACTAAACTTACAAATACAGAAAACAGATTAGTGGTTGTCAGAGGAGGGGGTTGGAAGGGGTGAGGAAAATGGGTAAATGTGATCAAAAGGTACAAACTTCCAATTATAAGAGAAGCAAGTCCTAGAAATGTAATATACAACATGGTATATGTTAACAATACTGTACTGTAGTAATATATATTCATAGAAGAGGAGTCTAAGCCTAGGCCTGTGAACAATTCCAATAAGGTTAGCAATAAAGAACTATAATCTCCTGAGCCACTTCACTGCACCATCACAATGAGATTTTTTTAAAAAGCCTACCACTACAACAATGCTACTAATCAATGGGTTTTACATGGATGGGTAGGGAATGCAAGGTGTCATCTTTCGTAGTACATCATCTGTGGCAAACAATGTGTAATAGCTCCAGCAAAATGGAGAAGACACTTAAATATAAATCAGAGGCATTGGACAAGTCAAGGTACTTACTATTTTAAACAGTTATTGGAATCTCAAATCAAAGAGTAAAGCTTGTGTATTTTTTTAAGTCACATTCAGTGAAAGGCTCAGGAAGTAAATTATTAGCAGAACTCATTACCCAGAAAAGAAGGAGTGGGGCAGGGGGGGAAACACAGCTGGTAGGAAACTAATCATGTCAACATGTCAAATGACAGTGAGTAAAATGCACAGTAAATGAGAAAGTGAAAAGTATCAAACAGTGTAAGCTGACAAATTGAAGACATGTCACATGATGGTGAAAAGGTCTATTTGAGAAACAACAGCCTGTCTATCCAAGTTTACAAATCAACAAATTTCACCAATAAATGCCATGCAGTAATGTCTGTAAAAATTTTAAATGCTGGTGAATTTCAAGAAAAACTTCTCTGCTGCAAAGCACTGCCACAAGCAAGCAAAGAGCAGGCCGTATTTAATGTGGTCTTCATATCTGGAAACAAAGGTCTGTCTTGGAGAACTGCCTTGCTGTCTTCACTGAGGAGTCCCACCAATGGCTGGCTCAGTACAAGGCTTATCCTCTTTTGTAAAAAAAAAAAAAAAAAAAAAAAAGAATATTCTGTTGTTGTCACAAGACACTGCTTTCTTCAGAGAGGTACCAGTATCAAAACCCCTGGGAAGTAAAATGAAAAATGTCCTGAATGATGCTACAAAAGTGATTTGCTTTATTAAACAAAGACCAGGGTACATGAGCATGTAAATCTTCTGCTACATAAAGAAATCTGGTGGTTTAGCAAAGTAGTTCTCAAAAAAATATTTAAGCTGAAAGGTGAATTACAGGTGTGCTTTCAAGAAAATAGCAGCCCATACATACTTTTACTGAGCACTTTGAAGATGAAGAATGGCTGCAAGGCTAGCTTGCTTAGTAGACATTATTTTTTAATCATGTAAACTGGTTGAACAAGTTTCTGCAAGGTTCTAGAAAAAATGCTTTGACTTTAAGTGACAAGACTTTAGGCCTTCAAAGGAAAACAGCATCTCTGGAAAAATCATGTGGCAAAAGGAAATCTTGTAATGCTGTTCAGGAAGGGCATCAGCAAGTCTCAAGCATTACTAAAAACCAGAAAGAACTAAAAATCAAAACTGAACAATATTTTCCCTCCCTTTCAACACAAATGTACGCCTGGGTAAAGGACCCTTTCTCTGACTCTTCTGCTCATTTAACAAGCTATCATTTAGCATCAAAGGACATATAAAGAAATGCCCAGACAAGAAAAAGCTAAAGGTGTCCATCACCACCAAACCAGTAACATGAAATGTTAAAGGGTCTTCTTTAAGAAGGACAAAAGGTCAAAAATATGAATAATAAAATGGCAATAAGTACATATCTATCATCAATTGAATCTAAAAAAAAAAAAAAACAAGCAGAACAGAAACAGACCCATAGATACAGAGAATATTTTGATGGTTGCCACATGGAAGGGGGGTTAAGGGGATGGGTGAAAAAGATGAAGGGATTAAGAAGTATAAATTGGTTGTTACAAAATAGTCACAGGGATGTAAAGTACAGCACAGGGAATATAGTCAATAATAGTCTAATAACTATGTATACAGCTGTCAGATGGGTATGAGATTTATCAGGATGATCACCTAGTAAGTTATATAAGGTACAATCATTGGGGCATACACCTGAAATCTTTGGGGCATACAAATAATATTGTATGTCAACTACAATTGAAAAAAAAATGATTAATAAATTGTAAAAAGTAAAAGAAAAATGCACTTCTTATTTGTCATCTAAGAACTAAAGTAGTGATTCATATGGATAAAGAGATGTCTTTCAATAAGGGAATTTTCAAGATAATTTGGAGTGGTTTTTTGGGGACTTACTTTTTATCGTTAATTTTTTTTACTCATTTTAGAGAGAGGAATAGACAGAAACATCGATTGCATGCCCTGTACTGGGGATCAGGCCCACAACCTGGGCATGTGCCCTGACTGGGAATCAAACCCGTGACCTCCTGGTGCATAGGACAACGTTCAACCAACTGAGCCACACTGACCAGGGCTGGACTTACTTTTAAGCAGTAAAATTGTTTTTCCATCAACTGTTTTGATTTTTAAAAAATCCTTCTAGCCCAGCCGGGTGTGGCTCAGCGGTTGAGCATCGACCTAGGACCCAGGCGATGGGTCAGGGTCGATTCCCAGTCAGGGCACATGCCCGGGCTGTGGGCCTGATCAATGACTCTCTCATCATTGAGGTTTCTATCTCTCTCTCCCTCTCCTTTCCTCTTTCTGAATCAATAAAGAGATATATTTTTTTTAAAAATCCTTCTAAAAATGGACCATGAAATTTTTCTACTTCTCAAACAAGTTCACTGAACATAATCTTTCTGATGTCTCCGTTGCTGCTATAATGTACACTACTGGGCTGTGGTACAACAATAACCACCTTGGGAACTAGTGAGATGTGTTGGGCAGTTTTTTTCCTGTGCCAAATGTTCTCAGTATTATGATTTTGAAGTTAATGAACCTGCTTTTAATTTTCTTTCCCATTTAGTCCCCTCCCCTTTTTTTAGCGCACCATTCCCGGAAGTACTGCAATACCAGATCCATGCACGGAGTGAAGGGAGCAAGCTACTATTCCACTCCCTGCTTCAAAAATACATTTAATATACTGTCCTTGGATAGAGGACATATCAAATATTAAACTGGTAAGAACAGATACTACACTTGATCTTAGCCAAAAGGCTAAGCAGCGATGTTTAATACTTCTTGCTGTAAATCTCACTGTGTGCACCTTACAGTTCCCTAATGGCACCCCTTGAACTTTCTCCATATAACTTCTAAGTAATTCTCATTGACAATTGAAGAGTTACTCTATAAGGAAATGAGTGAACTATGAGGAGCTTTTTTGTTGTTGCCTTTTTTGTTTTCTAAGTTCTTGGTTTTTATCAGATCTTCAAAAAGACTATACAAGGGACAGTTGAAAACTTTCCAAGAAAGTCTTTTACAGACCACTTCCTTTCTCTCAAAGCAGGCCCTCACCTCTTTAAAGAAAAAAGGTAAAACTCACCTCCACCCAGAATTTATAATGCATTGCCTGGAAGTGTAATAAACTCTAGGGACTCAAGAAAAGGACAAGTCAAAAAAATATTTGGGGGAAGTCTTTATAAATGATAACTGAGGTGTCACAGACTATCCACTATAGGGCTTCTTGTCTTTTTCAGTCTTACACAATTTTCCAAGAGTTCAAAATAAAATATGCTGGCCCCTACTAGGGCATTCTAAATTCTGATACATTATAGTTCAGGGGCAACTGAGAGTAGTTTCCTTTAAATAACTTTTCTCTCTTCCATCCCCACACACTCCACCTCCATGCTGTACTGTCCAATAATGCATCACTCTTTGGGGAGAGTCTAATAAGAGCAAAGTAAAGAAACATTGGTAAGAAATATCTAATGATAAAACTAGATTGTATCAAGTAATTAAATATAAGTAATTTTCCTCACCAATTCTCAAAATTCATTCCTTGAATATTTATTAGCTTGGGGGAAAAAGTGCATTTAAAGAACTGAAACAGTATCAATTAAGGAGGCTGATTCTTTTACATATAACAGAAATATTTTCCAGGACTACCAAATTGTTCAAATTACACTCCATAAAACTCACAGACAAAAACTGTGTAAGAACTATTTTAGAGTGTGTGAATTATTCACTGTGGTAGTTAAAACCTATTTTGTCAAAGCATATCATGAATTTTTTATTCTAATTAGTCAATTCTCATTACATCTTTTAAACACTTTAATATTCCTACCTCCTATTACAAAAGTCAGATAGCTCTAAGACCAATTCTTTATTTTTTTCCATTGATTTTTTTAGAGAGAAGCATTGATCGGCTGCCTCCTGTACACCCCCTACTGAGAATCAAGCCTGCAACCAGGGCATGTGCCCCGACTGAGAATCAAACCAGTCACCTACCAGTGCACGGGACGATGTTCAACCAACTGAGCCACACAGGTCAGGGACCAATTCTTTTTTTTTTTTTTTTATTGCTCAAAATATTACAGATGTACCTTTTCCCCCCATTGACCCCTTCTACCCCACCCGCACCCCTTCCCCAGCCCAATTTTTAACAATAGACATCCTTCTCCATTAACTACCCTTAAATAGTTATTTATTAATGGAGTTATTCCTGAATCATTCCCTTTTATTTATACCTAACAACTGAGTGTCAGAGATCAAAAGATGCAGGCACACACATTTAGAAAAGAAGTAACACACCTTTTTTCATATCCTTAACTTCATAAGTATTCTATTATGTAATTTATAATGATGCAATGTAACATAAGCAGCATATATATTTTTTAAATTATAAAAATGGGTAAATGAATTATATTTGATCCATATAACTTTCTCTTTTTTTTTTTTGATCCATATAATTTTCATCTCACCTTAGTAGTATCTTTTAGTATGCATTGTATAGTTTATTTCTCAGTGGTTTTTATATTATTTAAAATGTGTATTAACCTATTTATTTGAACTTAAAAGTAGAAGATATTTTTATGATAAAAAACAAGTTTGATATAGCTGGTTGGTTTGACAATGGAGACTAACTTGGTTAACAGAGAGATACTTTTCTAACCCTTCAACCTAAGGGTTTCGACAAAAATGTATTTATACACATAATGAGAGAAAAGCATTCTATGAAAAATTACATTGGCAAAGGTATGTTGAAATTAATATTTTTATTTTCAACTACTTCTGAGTATCAGATTAAAGAAAGTGCCTACAAGGAAAGAGGGAGAAATGATGTAATTAGATACTTGCTAAGTCTTAGTAAAGCCTTTTAGATATACTTTCTAGAAATTAAAAAAAGTCAACGGTTAAGAACCAGGTAACAAATCCTTTGGCAAGTTAAGCAGTTCACATTATTTTGCTTTCAACAAAACTGAGGAAGGGTCTAATAGAACTGTCGACTGATGGATACTTGATGATAAATCGCTAAGTGATATTTGGCATATAACTTGGAGGATTTTGCTATCACAAAACTTCCACTAGAATAAACTTGTTTATATGACCATTTATTTCTCAGCACTTAAACCTACAAAATCTAAAAATAAAAGCAGACATTGATGCCAAATCCTGTTTCATTTTATCAATAATTAATATATATCTCCAGATACAAGAACCACTGGAGGAAGAAAAAAGACTGACTGTACCATTCATTTAAAAAATAAATTTCTATTGATTATTACAAAGTAAATTTTAATCAAAATTTTCATATATATGAGTTATTCTAACCAACTGTGTGCTAATAATAATTGTAATGATACCTCAAACCAAGGTATTTTAAATACTTAGAGCATTACAGTCATAAGAAAAACATTCTTAATATATATATATAAATAATTGTGACAAAGTTTGATAGATGTTCAATAAAATATTTTCAAGCATAAAAATACATAACATTAGCATAAGTGCAGAAGGAGTAACAGAATGGACAAACAAGTTTAAAGGAAAAATTAAATTTCCAATCACTGAACTTTATTTTTTAAATGCTTTTATTGATTTGAGAGAGAGAGGAAGGGAAAGGGACAGCGAGAGCGAGAGAGAGAAATATCAATGGGCTGCCTCCTGTACGCNGGACAGCGAGAGCAAGAGAGAGAAATATCAATGGGCTGCCTCCTGTACGCCTCCTACTGGGGATGGAGCCCGAAATCTGGACATGTGCCCTGACTAAACCAGCATCCTCTTGGTGCATGGGACAATGCTCAGCCAACTTAGCCACACTGACCAGGGCTTTGTTTTATATTTTTAAATTAATAATGGCATTTAGATTCCTTTAGTTAAATGTAAAAGAATGATGTATTTTATTAAAATATTACAATATGCCAGAAATTCTATCCTTTGTCACTTTTCCTGAAAAACTGTAGTTGTCCGTTTAAATATGTGCAGAGAGATACACCATTTTTCAAACTTGTTTCAGGGGACACAAGTAAAAATCTGAACACTGTCCTAGATAAACAAAGTTACAGTAAGGGTCATCTATGCAAGTGAAGACTATTAGCAGAGTAGCAAAAACATGACATTTAAATGTCAGTCTCCCTCAAAAGACTGACAGCCACAAGGGCATACATTTAGGGGGGGTATTCCCCCCTTTAGTGCTCCGAATAGCATATAGTATATTTTAAGAATTGTTTATCACATGGGTTAATGGATGGATGAAATTCATGCATGGTGAATACATAAGTTTAAAGGATAGTATTTGAAAATGGGAAATTATAAACCACAGATTTCTACTAGAAATTAAATACAAACCATAGAACTGAGACATAGCCAAACACTAAGACTCTTAAATTATGAAAGTCTTAGCATAAAACTTGATTTATATTTTAAGCAACAGATAGCTAAAATATGAAATAACTACAAATACAGAACTTTCTTTGACTCTTTTAAAAAGATACAACTACTGCCCGGCCGGGCGTGGCTCAGTGGTTGAGCATCAACCTGGGATCCAGGTGATCGGGGTTCGATTCCCAGTCAGGGCACATGCCTGGGTTGCGGGCTTAATCAATGACTCTCTCATCATTGATGTTTCTATCTCTCTCTCTCCCCCTCTCCTTTCCTCTCTCTGAAATCAATGAAGATATATTTTTTTAAAAAAAGATACAACTACTAACTAAATGGGAATAAGGGTTTGAGAGAAGAAGGGGGCAAGTTTGAAATTACATAGCCATCTTAGCTATAAATGAAATTTTATTTTACTTTAATAAACAAAGTTAGGATTCAAAGTATTTAGTAAAGCCAAAATGTCATAATCATAAAAACTTATTTCAAAAAATACTAAATTGTCCATCAAACTTTAGATTCCAATTCTTTTGTGAGTCAATGTTTTTCTAAGACCTCAGTAATTCTCTGATTTTTCTCCTCCAAGATGTAGAAAAGCCATCACTATCATCTGCCTGAACTGTGTAGTTTTTACTTCTCACATCAATGGAAGTAATATTCTTTTCTTACGGGTTTTGCAAACAGGTGTTGACTTAAGAGGTGACTGTATCTATTGCCTGAGCACAATTTTAAGTTAGATGGCAGGTTTAAATTGTGTCCTTGAATTAATGTAAATTAAATATACCTAGGTGAGCCACTGCATTGTTAATTTGATATAAAAGGTTAAAAGCATTATTTTTACAATTTTACTGAGGTAATAAACTACATATAATGAAATATACAATTTTATAAAATGTGACTTGTATATACAAATTTACTTCTGAAAATCCTAATCCCCTTCTTCTGCCCAAAAGTTAAATAGGATTTTTGTCATCTGAGAAAAGTACTTACCTTCATATAATTCACAATCTTAGCAAGAACACCAAACTTATATCCAGAGCTTCCTGATAAAGCTTTCAAGTTAAATGATCCATTGCTATGATCTGAAAATAAATTCAAAAAACAATGGTAACATTTTTATATTAGATGTGATTATGACTTGTAAGCAGCTAAGATGGTTTTAACTCTGGTAAAGATTTTTCTTGTTTGTGCTTTTCTATCCAGTGAATTCTATCCTGTAAAACTTGGTGAAAATTCAAAATCTTTGAGTGTAAATAAACTATCCATTGTCTCATTAAGGATGAGAACAAAGTATACATAATTAAAAAACATTAAAACACATTTATTTTATAAGTACCTTTATCTCATTCTTTCCTTAATTCTGATTAATTTCCCTCATAATTAGAAGCAAGGCTTTTAAAACAAAAACACAATACAAATCTCAATCTGATCCACAGGGCTTTTCTAACAAACTTAAAACCATGAGAAGTGAGTGGATTACTTCTGAGGAATAAAAAGTTCAATTTATTGCCCAGCCAGCGTGGCTCAATGGTTGAACATCAGCCCACAAACCAGGTGGTCACAGTTCGATTTCCGGTCAGGGGACATGCCCAATTTTCGGGCTCTATCCCCAGTCGGGGGCATGCAGGAGGCAGCCAATCAATGACTCTCATCATTGATGTTCTATCTCTCTCTCCCTCTCCCTCTTTCTGAAATCAATAAAAACACTTAAAAATTATTTAAGAAGTTCAATTTATCATTTATTACAACAATTTCTGCTTATCAGGTTAAAACAAATGGGCATTAATAGAATAAAAAGAATGATACCATAACTATTTTAAAGTAAAATTTAGAGAAAAATTAGAAATAAGAAATGTAGGTACTGCCACTGCATAAACACGGATGCTTAGAAAGAATGATAGCATGAAACAAGGAACAATCTGTACAGATAATTATTTGTTTCAGGACATCTATCATTTGTTGCATTCTTACAGGCACAAATCCTAATGCCACCCTGCATCACAAATACATTCCTTTAGTCACAGGCAAGAACTAGTAAAAAATTTCATCATAAATACTAGAAAAACATTTCAGAAGTACACATTCTATTAGCATGGCATCAGATAAGAAATTATAAAGTTCCCATGTGGCTGATACACAAGAGAAGAGATTAAATAAAATGGGGGAGAGTCAACGTCTGGCACCAGCGTGGTAATAATAATTTAAGCAAAAGAATGCATTAGAACAACCGCAAGTCAAATGTAACAATTGTCTGAGATCCAAAAGAACAGCTTCAAGATGGCACTGCTCCTTTGAGATTAGTTTGCGAAAAGACTTTATTGAATGTTTTCTTGAGACTAAAATGAGACTTCAGATGCAATTTTCCTCTAAAAATAACTGTTACAATTTTGATAGCTTACTTGACACATTAAAGTCTACTTTATTGTTTCCCAACAATATTAAGAGTAAGAATGCTATATAGGTGTACTTTCCCATTCATTTTTTCAATTATCAAATACTACCTACCCACATGGTTCATTTTTCAAGATGTTCAGGACCCTATAACAATAATAGTAACTAACCTTTACTGAACACTTACTATTTGCCAAGAGCTATGCTAAATGATTTCCTCATTTAATCCCTCCCCAAAACCCTATTTAGAAGATATTATTGTCCACTTTTAAACATAAGAAAACAGAGTAGTAAGTGACAGGGTATAGATTCAAAACAAGTTGTACACTCTGTGATAATGCCTTGCATAAGAAAAATTAACTAGCCTTCAACACAGATCATGCCATCGAAAACTGGCTATTTTGTCAGAGTATAGAAATTCATAAATGCACATCTAATGTTTTCTTGTTTAACTTTAGCAAAGTAGTATTAAGCTTATCCTGTATAAACAACTAACTGGGAAGACAAAACACAAATGATGAATATGTTAAGGATAAGCACCAAATGGTCAATCATGATGCCCATACAGTTTTGTTTACCATGGGGTCTCCAGCATTTAACTCAATACAAGACATAGTAAACACTCAACAAATGTTGAATGAATGAAAGAAGGGGAAGAGGAGGGGAATGAGAATGAACAGTATTTCCATGTACCCTTTTATGGCCCCAGAATGTGCAGATTTATCTATAATTAAAAGAAGTCTATACAGCAAGCATTTACATAGCCCACTATTGTTATAATAGCCACTCCCATAATTAAAAACCTTGCTTGTTATGCTTAGACCACAACTTTAAATTATACCATAAATAAAAACATCCTATTTCAAACACCCAACTGAGGATTCTTTTGCCATTTAAATTTCACAGACTGCCCTGGCCGTGGCTTGGTTGGCTGGAGCATGGTCCCATACATCAGAAGGTGGCAGGTTCTATTCCTGATCAGGGCAAGTACTCAAGTTGCAAGTTTGATCCCTGATTGGGGAGTGTACAGGAGGCAACTGATTGATGTTTCTCTCTCACTTCGATGTTTTCTTTTCTTTTTCTTTTCTTTTCTCTCCCTTTTCCTCTCCCCACTTCCACTCTTGCTAAAAATCAATTTATAAAACACATAAACATATCCTTGTTTAAAAAATCCAGCCAATTAAGGATTTAAAAAAATAAAATAAATTTCAGACTGCTTTTTTAATGTAGGTGGTGTACCTATCCTTTCCCAGCTAGGAAAGCTGAAAACCTTATTTCTTTCTTTTTCCTCAGAATTTTTTCTGTATTAAACCACCATATGAACGGGTCATTGGGGAGAAAAAGGGACATCTGTAATATTTTAAACAAAAATAAAATTAAAAACAAAACAAAAACCACCACATGGAAATAATAAAACACAGTACTGAAAGAAAATATCATCTATAAAATTGTATGCACACTTACGGAGGAAATATAAAACTGATAAACCTGGGCTGTTTGTGTTCTAGGTTACTACCTCTCTCAACATTATCTTCTAGCCCTAGCACTGAAATATTCACTGAAGGATCTGAAATTTTATACTTAAACACTGAAGAAACACCAATTTGTTGCTGACTCAAAAATTCCTAAGCAGGAATTCAGCTAAAGGACAAAAAGGCAAGAAAAAAGGGTGACAGCTGATATCCCAGATAGTTTTATTCAAGTTTATGAATGATTTACTCTTAAGGGTAGCAGGACTTAATGCAAATGAATGTAGAAGAAACTGTCAGCTGCACTGTGGTTCAACCAATAGAAGCACAGCTCCATCTTGGCTGTGCACTAGACTGCATTACAAACAGACGATACCATCGCTTCAACGGCAGCCTTTCAGACAAGAGGTAGGTTTATATGATCTTTTTCATTTAGTAATACATGTCCTTATGATGCAATATAAAAATATTTTACCACAGAAATCAAACAGAAAGCTTTGTTCCTACTAAAGACCAAAATAAGCAATCTATTCATTTCATTGCATGGCAGGATTTTATTATGAAAATATGAAGACTGCCTGTGCTATTTAATAAGTATCCTTACCATCTGGTGCCTTAATGGAAAATTCATGACATTGTCTTTAACCGGATCTATATCCAGACCTTAGAGTAAACCATAAGCATTTGATTTTAAGTGGTTACTTGCTAATTTCATTTTCTCTGAGCTATTTCATTTCAGCAGTTTGGTCTGCTGAATCCTTAAACAAAGGATTTTTCTTAAAGAAAAATCTAGACTAAAAGCGAATCCTGAACAAAAGCTTTCTGATTATATATGTGGAAATTATATTGGCTGGTAAAAAGCAGTTGCTTACAAGAAAGTTTGTTATATTTTAACAAATATCAGAAAATAGTTCAAAATTCTTTTTTATTTGACTTTGAGGACAGATTCAGAGAATGCTGAGAAGTTATCACAATTGTGATTTTTATATAAAAATTTAAAAACCACAAAGGTACCATTTTGTAGGCTGCATTATACTGTAACCAAAGACATCATTTATAGAGCTTCAGACTTTTCAACATTTTAATTTAAATAATTCCTTACAGTAAAATCTTAAAGTCTATATTACTGTAATTAATATACAAATCATGCTATTATTAAATGAAAACCTTTTTGAAACAACCTTTCATTTTTGTATATGCCACAAAAATATATATTTATCACAGTAATTTCAATATGTTAAAATTATTCTTAAATGATCCTCAAAATAAATACGTAGTAAGTCTAATTAACTGCATTTAAAAATAAAAGCACATCCTAAGAATTGGTTAAGGGAGGACAGTACAGTACCTTTCAAGATTCTAAGAATACTTTCATGGCTCTGATTACCATTCATGTCTACTAAAAATCAGTAGCAACTGCTCACCAAATTTCTAATTTTATAATAGTTAAGCATGAAAATATCACTATTTAGTAGATGCTAGAGTTCAAAGATATTACCTGTAAATGATGACCTAAAGATCCAACTTATGTACTTTTACTATGCTGGTAAATCTATTTAAATTTTATAGGACTTTTTTTCATAATTTTTATTTCTTTTATCTCTCAGCTAGCATACAGTGAATATGAGTAAAGTGTCCCTTACAAAGACCAAAGGTTGCTGTAAGAAGATACTAGATCTCCCCAGGTTCAGCACAATGGGATTAGTTACCTAGAAAACATTCCTGTTTGCCATACAAAGTATGGGTGCCCCAAAAGAGTCTCAGATAAAATGAAAACAACTTTGCCAAATAAAAGAGTTAACTTGTGACTCAAATTTCAGGTAAATTGTAAACCAAAACCCCTACCACCTACATTGTTTTAAAACCATACAAGCCTATATATCTTACTGGTAATGCATCTATAGTTAGCACAGATGGAGGTCAGAGCTGTTTCACTGAACAGACTAGAGGCATGGCCTATCTCAGAGAGTTCTAGGGCCGAGCAGCTCTATATTTAAAGACCATTATGATTAATTGATCATATTTCAAAGTGATATGCTTAAAGGCACTAAAAAACTCAATTCAAGGGCTTTTACCATAAATACAACAAAAGTGGAATTTTATTCTCATCTGGCAAGTCAAGGTTCCAAAACAGTTCCAAGTCTTAGCCCCATAAATATTTTACTAGGAACTTTTGAAAAATGGGAGGAAAAATAGGTGGAGTATTTCAAAAATAACAAACTAAAAAAATATGCTATTTACCCTAACATTTACCATTCCTATAATAAAAGTTTAAAGGGATCATGGGGCATGCAAAATAGTACCAACTGTTTTGGTTGTTTTTGGGTTGGCTTCTTTTTATCATTTTCTCTTACTTTTCAAAAGGCATGTTTATAGCATTTGTTTGATATAAATTTACATTTTAGTTTTAAAAAAAATAGTCTCAGAGCCCTAGGCAGTTTTGCTCAGTAGTTAGAGCGTTAGCCAGTGGGCTGAAGGGTCCCGGGTTTGATTCTGGCCAAGGACACGCACCTCGGTTGCAGGAGGCAACCAATCGATGTGTCTCTCTCACATCAATGTCTGCTCTCTCTCTCCCTCTTCCACTCTATCTGAAAAGCAATGAAAAAAATATCCTCAGGTGAGGATTAAAATATATATATATTTTTTTTCTCAGAATACAAAAAAATTTCTAATAGTAATATCTTTGTCCGTGTCTAGTTATGTCTAATCCACCCAAGTAAATTTTAGAGTTTTACCCTAAATTTAGAACAAAAAATTACCAGAGCTCTACTGTACATTGAAAAAAATAAATCACACTAATGTAAGGTAAAAAATGATTCCATATTATAAGGGTTTACTATTTTCAGCTATGCCCAGACGCAACTAGACAGCTGAGTGTTTTGAGTCCGTCATCAGTTAACAATGCAGTCACAGGAAGCATGCTATCATCATTTATAACATAAACCTGACAGGTATATATTGTTAAACCGCTTACATGCTTCTAACAAAGCTTACAAATGCCCTGTTCTCCACTGTCATTACTGCAACATTATGATAAGCATATTTGTGTGTGGATAAAGTATGCAGTCTAATCAAAATGACAGTGTTTGATAATCCTAATTTTAATTTTTTAGAATCCAGAAAAGTCAATAAATGTATCATATATAACACAATAGACTTTTTTTTTTTTAATATATTCTTTATTGATTTCAGAGAAAGGATGGGAGAGGAAGAAAGAGATAGAAACATCAATGATGAGAGAGTCATTGATCAGCTGCCTCCTGCACTCCCAACTGGGGATCAAGCCCGCAACCTGGGCATGTGCCCTGACCAGGAATCGATCTTCGATCTCCTGGATCCTAGGTCGATGCTCAACTGCTGAGCCATGCCTGGCTGGGCTAACACAATAGACTTTTAAAACCCAAAGGCAAGGAATACTTTTAAAATATATGTGTTTGGGTTTTAAGTAATATATTCAAACGGTTCAAAAATTAAAAGAATGTAACAAGGTATATCTTGAGAAGTCTCACATCCCTGTCCCTCAAATCTACTCTCCATCTACCACCACGTCATCATTGTTATTAATTTTTTGTATATTCAAGATTTTTGCATAGATACATGCAAATAAAAATATATATTATTTTCCCCTTTCCTATACATACTGTCCTGCATCTTGCTCTTTTCACTTAACATATCCTATCACCATACAACTACCTCATTCATGTATAATATTCAATTGTGTGAATATTCTATATTAATTTTAACCAGAAGTTCACTGATGGATACAAGTTAACATCAAATAATTAAATTTAGTTGTGTGTCTGTCTGCCTACCCCTACCTTCTCCCCTCCCCTTCCACTCTACCCCTTTCTTAGGAGGAGGCATGAAAAAAATTTTAAGCAATTCACTTATACCTCAAAAATAAACAGAATATGAAGCTCCTTAAACCAACTTTCTAATCATTTGTAATAACTTCAGTATACTTTCAACCAGGTATGATTTATATAGCCAATTTCTGGGAGAAAGGGGAAAAAGTTAAAAGCTTGATATGTTAGATAGGATTCTGGGTTAAGCTTTTAATTTTTATTTAAAATTGCTATGGTGTTTCTGAAGTCAATAGTATAGTAACACTTTAAATTAACATAAAGTTACTAAGGTGGATTAAACTAATTTGAAGGGCATAATGTCGGAGTTGCTTCACTCTACTCTCCTCTTCCTCCCTATCACTGTTTCCCCTGCAGTCACTTCTAATGCTCGATTTAGAAGAGAAAAACCCTTAAAAAGAAAATCACAGATTTTAAAAAGAAATTAACCGGAAAGGCCTTAACTGAAAGTCTAAGGAATATTTTCGTCAGTGCTAGAGAGGTCCTAGTTTAGCCCAAATAAAAGTATTAAACAGACCTACCCAGATAAGCGGCACTGTCCCATTTCCCCAAGGTCCTACTCTTCTTCCTCTCCCTCTCCTCTATTAGCTCTGCTTTTCAAAAAGGGCCTGAAACTCATTTACACTGAAGTAAAAATAACTGTAACAATGTGTGTTACCCCTCCCAGGAATATCTGCACTTTAGTAGTGCTAAAAATCTTAAAGGAGTTCCAAAGCTGAACTTTTTTTTAGGGGTATGTGTGTGTACACACGATACTATTAGGAAGGCTGGGTCAAAAAGGACTTCACTTTTGTCTCCATTTGAGTCTGTTTCTATGGATTACTTTACTATTTGTGTGCATGATGATTAGAATCAGAGGCAGAAACAATGCAGAAGTTAGAGGGGTAGCCTATCAGAAAATCCACACTGCATAACTTAATGTGACTGGCACTCCACAATACAATATGAATGGTGCTCCTTGGAGATGTGCAACATATCAGCAGCCCTGCTAGGGGCGCTCTTCCTCCAGGGAGCATACTGGTGCCATCCCCTTCTCCTTCCCCCAGGGGCATGCATCTTCTAAACTCCAAGGAACCCCACAAAACTTGCAACCAGGGCAGCAGCTCATCCAGGGCTAACCCCCTAAACCTGTCTCCAAGGCCCCTTTTCTCTGACTTCCCAGTGAGCTAAGGGAGCCCAGCCTGGGCTCTCCCTTGCTTCTTCTATGCCCTTGTTTGTTTCACTGCCCTAAGTGTGTTTTTGCTGCAGGCAATAAATTCTTGCTTGCTTTTCTAAAAAAAAGAACATGCTCAGAAGAGAAAAATTCAAAGGATATAAAAGAGGGTAACTTTGAAAGGCTGGCTCTCCAGAAATAGTTTGAAAATAATGTAATGTTGCCTGGCCGGACGCGGCTGAGCGTCAACCTAGGATCCAGGTGATCGGGGTTCGATTCCCGGTCAGGGCACATGCCCAGGTTGTGGGCTCGATCAATGACTCTCTCATCATTGATGTTTCTATCTCTCTCCCTCTCCTTTCCTCTCTCTGAAGTCAATAAAGATACGTTTTTTTAAAAAAAGAAAATAATGTAATGTAATAGAACACATACTGTCGTACAGACAATGTATTTCTGTATGTCCCAGGACTAATAGAAGCAATTGATTCATTTACTGTCCATTAGCCCATTATCCCTCATTTCAATATGAAGGGTCACCAAGCACCATAAAACTGAAGAATTCTTAAATCCAAAAAGAAAAAAATGAATTGAAGCCTTTACTTTTGGCCTCAGATCATCAACTTAACCTTCAAAACACACGAAAGAAGAAAGGAACCAAGTCTGTCTAGAGAGATGAAAAGATTTGCTAAGCAAATCTCATTTAAGAAAGAAAACAAAAACCTTAGAAAATATAATTTTAAAGCTCCAGGGTTGATAAATTGATATCTATAACGAAACAAAGAAATCTAAAGGAATTACACTGTTATGGCTTTGTTGGTTTTAAATCACTTTTTAATCTTTTTGATGTGAAAATAATATTATGGTTATATTTAAAAACAGAGTCCTCACCTTATAAGATATACTGAATATTTCTAGAAGAAGGACTATGATGTCTGGGATTTGCTTCAAAATAATGCAGCATTGGGTAGAGCTATAGACTGGCCAAGAGTTGATAAATGAGGCTGTATTATGAGCACATGGGGGTTTTCATTATATCTTTATACTTCTGCACTACCTTGAAGTCTTCTTTAAATGAAACAATCTCACACACAAGTTATCTCTAACATTTAAAAAAGTATTTGGTACACAGTAGGTAATCAATAAACATTTGTTTATAAAAATAAATGAAATTCTATTTACAACTATGTAGGGGAGGAAAGCATGCCAAAAAAAGTCATTTCTTTCATTAAAAAAAGCATACAAATGGTCTTGGCCAGTTTGGATCAGTGGTTAGAGCATCAGTCCTCAGACTGAAGGGTCCTGGGTTCGATTCCAGCCAAGGGCATATATCTCAGTTGCAGGCTTGATCCCTGACCCCAGTCGAGATGAGTGAAGGCAATTAATCAATGTGTCTCTATCATATCGATGTTTCTCTCCTCCACCCCCTTTCACTCTCTCTGAAAAGCAATGGAAAAAATATCCTCAGGTGAGGATTAAGAAAATAAATTTTTTAAAAGCATACAAACGGACAATCACTGAATTAAAGAAGTGGAATATATTTTTCTCTCATTTCCAGAATTTTCTTAGTATATAGGTATTTTTTCTAATTTTTAAAAATAAGCATAAGAAGATAATTTTGGAAGATCAAGATAGTAAAAATTCATTTTTTTAAATACTCAAATCTTTAATCCTTACACTACCATTTAAGGCCTAACAAGTATCAGGTCAACAAGAGCAAAAGTTGATACAAGAATACTGAAACTTTAACTTACTGGCCAATTTTGTGAAATAGAATAATAATTTAATAAATGATACCTTTGGTGCACTGAATTTGACTGTTTTTAAAAAATATTCACATCTATAGGTCATTTAGGCATATGAAACATTTAGACTATCATATACACAACAAAAACATCTTAAGATTCTGGTCTCTTCATAGGCAACTTAATTTGACTTTTCTTTCTCTACTATTTCTCACTCAGCCACTCACTATTCCCTGTTTCAGGTCCTTGTCCTCAAACTTTAAAGGAGTGGAAATAGGAGCCGAAAATACACTGAACTGAAAAGGTGAGAGGATCCACAAGCACATTTTGAAGAATATGACCTTAAAATGCAAAGATTTCTTGTAGATAATACGTCACTGACCACTGCTTTAGTCAAACTTTAAACCAATTTAGTTGCCTTTTTTCTCTTCCATTAGCAGTTAATTTCTGTGAATCTTAAACATACATATTTGTCTAATAAATAATATACACAAAAATATATAGTATGGTTTACAGAATACATTGGCATAGATATAGAAAAAATTAATACCATTAATTCTGGCAGAAAATAAGAAAGATACGCTTGCCTACATAAATTTAGTAACAAGTCTTAGCACTGAGATTTGAACTGACAAATCTGTAGAGTTTGGTTACATATATTCGTTTTCTACCTTTTTATAGATTCAAAAGAGCAATACAAGAAGTGGAATCTCTAAGAATGGCCTCCCTGAGCTCCAGCCTCTGGAATGAAACCACTACCTCTGTTTATCAGTACCTTGGTTTTCAAGTTCAAAAAATTTACCCTTTCCATGATAACTGGAACACTGCCTGCTTTGTCATTCTGCTTTTGTTTATATTTACAGTGGTATCTTTAGTGGTGCTGGCTTTCCTTTATGAAGTGCTTGACTGCTGCTGCTGTGTAAAGAACAAAACTGTGAAAGACTTGAAAAGTGAACCTAATCCTCTTAGAAGTATGATGGACAACATCAGAAAACGTGAAACTGAAGTGGTCTAGCACTCTATATAAGTTGAACAAAATCTATGAAAACAACCTTTAACTTCTGAGGGGGGGAAAAAATTTCTGAGGCCAATTGTTACAAAACTGACTGACTTTGAATGATTAAAAGATTTCTATTAGAAGGGAAAGACAAGTTAAATACGTACTTCTTTGTGTGTGTCTTTCATTAAACATACAGTAAAACTTCATAAATGTAAATAATCTCCCAATCTCTTTAAAATGACACTTAAAAAACTAGATAAAAGATTCCTAGAATTCAATATGAAATAGCAAAATGTAAACTGGAAAGCATAAGCAAGGCTAATGATGCCAAAATAACATATACCTAAACAAATCACAGGGACTAAAAAATAGAGTACTATGCACTGGATGGTGGAGCAGTTGGAGCATCATCCCGTGTACCAAAGGGTGATCGTGGGTTTGATTCCTGGTCAGGGCACATGCCAGGGTTGCGGGCTCGATCCCCAATTGGGGTACAAAGGGGAGGCAACCGATTTTCTCTCTCATGATGTTTCTCTCTCCCTCAAACCTTCCTCTCTCTAAAAATCAACAATAAAAAAATAAGAGTACTACATCTACGTGTATTTTGTAATAAAAATACTATTTAAAATGCTTCTCTAAATCCAAAGTAAAATACTTCCACTTATATTCAAGTCCCTACTTAATAAAAAGCATTTTCTAGTTTATTGAAAACAACTTACATATTTTGAAAGACTTAAGTTTTATGTAGGATTACTGTGACAAAAGTCTCAAATGCTCAGAAATGTCACAAGTATACTTGCATAAAATTTTTATAAAATGGACTGTCGAAATACAAGGTCTAAGAAAGCCCAGGCTATTTTCAAACTAAAGCTTACTAGTACACCCCTAAACTGCATTTTTTGAGCTTGTGCTTTCAGTTTGCTTCTCGTATTCTCTCTCTCAAGGGCTAAGATACACAATGTAGAAAAGACAAAAAAAAAAAAAAAAAAAAAAGTCAAAAGACAGGACCACTTAACACCTGTTAAGAAATATGGCAGTTTTATTTCTTGGAATTCCAAGGGCTGTACAGATATTATATTTTATAACCCTAATACTATTTCGCTACCACACATGAGCATGAGCAAACCAAAGCATGCTCTTTACAACTGCCCTTAGGCAGAAATGCTGCTCCTGAAAATTTATTGAGAAATTAGTTCAAAAGAAGAAAAGTTCAAGATACAAAGATATTTGTAACAGCATTACTAAAAATAACAAAAAATTGGAAATAACAGCTTTTAATGTGGCACATTAACTTAACAGATGAAGAAGCTACTGAAACTTATGACAAAATAGAAAAAATTTGATATGTGAAGTGAAAAATCAATATGTCATTTTCAGTTTAGAGAACCCTAACTGCCAGTTTGAAATAGCTTTTCCACAAAATATTTTTAATATACTTTCTAACATTAGAAACAAACACAAGTAACATAACTAGTTTTCAAAGGACTTGTGAAACCTAGGTATTCAAAATACTTTGGTAACCACGAACTATTCTGAGCACTGTTAAAACCACATTTTCATAAACGTAAACTCTGGGGTCCTTGTCATTGATAGAAAGCACACAGGTTCTTTAGTAACTACATTATTTGATAATGTACACTATCAACTTCTCCCTACCTTACCCTGTAATTTATTTAGCCATTCAACAAATTTTGAGTGCTTCTATGTGTGAGGGATTAGGTTACAATAGCTAACAAGTAATCAATGCAATTACAATGGCACAGTAGCTTTGTCAGAAATGGTGAGTGCTAAGAGAATTCAAAGGCTAAGCACTGAATTCAAATTCAAAGTGGGAATAGTATGACTTTTAAGCTGAACAGGAGTTAGCCAAAGGAAAGAGGGAAGGAGATAAGAAAGAATGTTCCAGGAAGAGGAAATAATATTGGCAAGAGCCAAGAGAGTAAAGCATGTTAGAGGCACTACAAGTCAGTATCACTAGGAGATAGTATAAGGAGACAGGTAGATAGGGGCATAAGAGTAAGAGCAGGCTAGATCATGTAAAGCATGTAAGCTACAGGGAAGAGATGGGCTTTATCTGAAAAGCAGTGATGTCATCAGATTTATGAATAGAAAAATCACTGACTGCTGTACAGGGAATGGACAGTAAGGAAGCTAAACCAGGAGCCCTGGTAAGTAGCTAACAGGGCAATCTAAAAATAGTGAACCAAACTAGAGTCATATGGTAGTCTTTAGTATTTACACCCAATGGATATATAGCTCTCCTCTTTCTGAGCACATGGAACCCCTTGTGGCTTGGTACATATAGCCTTGTAGCCAATGAGGAAGTGATATGTGTCACCTCCAGGACAGAGCACTTAACTGCCAGACAAGATCTTCCAGAGTTCTCTTTACCTCTAACACTACAACCAGCATTTGGAATATCGCTACTCTCCCAGCCTGGGTCCTTGAGTGACTGTAATAAGCTAAGACCCCTGCCAACACATGATAAACATGTGGTATGAAAGAGAGAAACAAATGTTTGCTGTTTTAAGCCACTGAGATTTTGTAGCAGAGACTATATCTAAGAGTGGGTCTCTGCTAATGTTTAAAACAGTTCTTATAATTTTGTTTCCTATAAGTAAGTTTCATTGGAATAAAAGATGATCAATCCTAATGTATGTGCTAATAAGAATGATAGGCCTACTTTGATAAAAAGATTAGCCAACATCATAAATAATGGTGAAAGATTGAATATTTTCCCCCTAAGATCAGAAACAAGGCGAAGATGTCCACTCTCACTACTTCTATTCAACATCATACTAGCCAGTCCAGACAGACAGGAAAAAATATAAACGGCATTCATATTGGAAAGAACGAAATAAAACTGTTCTTATTCACTGATGACATAATGTTGTATGTAGAAAATGCTAAGGAATCCACACAGAAACTAGAATAAACGAGTTCAGCAAAGTTGAAGAATACAGGATCAATGTACAAAAAGGAACTGCACTTCCACATACCAGCAATGAACGTTTCAAAAAACAACTAAGGAAACAATCTTATTCACAACAGTACCAAAAATAAAGTACTTAGAAATAAATTTAAGAAAATAAATGTAAAATCCGTATATTAAAAACCTAAATAAATGAAAAGATATCCACGTTCATCGACTAGAAAACTTAATAATGCTAAGATAGCAATACTCCCCAAACTGATGTATAGAGTCAATGCAATCCCTATCAAAATCCAGCTCTGGCTTTTTTTTTTTTTTTAAATATATCTTTATTGATTTCAGAGAGAGGAAAGGATAGGGAGAGAGAGAGATAGAAACATCAATGATGAGAGAGTCATTGATTGAGCCCGAAACCCGGGCATGTGCCCTGACCGGGAATCGAACCCTGATCCCCTGGATCCTAGGTCGATGCTCAGCCGCTGAGCCATGCCCGGCCAGGCCTGGCCCTTTTTACAGACGTGAATTGATGAGCAGATCCTAAAATTTATATGTAAATGCAAAGGATCCAGAAAAAAATAAAACAATTTTGAAAAAGAACAAAATTGAAGGACTTAAACTTTCAAAACTTTACTACAATGCTAAAGTTACCAAGAGAGTATGCTACTGTCACAGGATAGACATATGATGCAACAGAACCACATTGTGATGCCAGAAGTATATAAACTCATTTATAGTCAAGTGATAACACAGGTGCAATCAATGCAAGTCAAAGGGGAAGATAGTGGTTTCAAGAAATGATACAGAGACAACAGGCAAAAAGATGAATTTATACCCTTATGTTAAACCAAAAAATCAACTCAAACATATCATAAACCTAATGTAAAAGTTAAAATTATAAAACTCTTAGAAGAAAACATAGTAAATTTTCATGACCTTAGGTTAGACAAAGATTTCTTAGATATGACACCAAGAGCACAAGTGACACTGGATCAAGAAATTGTATCCAGAATACATAAAGAACTCTTATAAATCAACAGTAAGAAGACAACCCAATATTTTTCCAGTGGGCAAAAAATGTGAACAGACATTTCACCAAAGACGACACATGAATGGTCAAATAAGCACATGAAATGACATCCAACATCATTAATCATTAGAGAATTACATATTAAAAACAAAATACCACTTTACATCCACTAGAATGGCTATGATAAGAAAGACAGGAATAACAAGACTTGGCAAGAATAAGAAAAAAGTGGAACCCTCATGCATTGATGGTGAGAATGTAAAATGGCACCTCCTCTTTGGTACTTTGTTAAAAACTTAAACATAAAGTTACCACATGAGCCAGAAATTCTACTCTTAGGTCTCTTCACAAGGCGGGGGAAAAAAGATGTCCACACAAAGACATACATGAATATACATAGCAGCATTATTCATAACAGCCAAAAAGTAGAAGGAATACAAATGTGTATTAAATGGTGAATGGATAAACAAATTGTGTGGTATATCCATACAATGCAATACTCTTCAGCAATAAAATGGAATGAAGTACTGATACATGCTACAACATGGATAGAATCCTGGACAAAACACAACAAACTGAATCCCACAACAAGTAAAAAAGATTATATACCATGACCAAGGAAGATTTATTCCAACAATTCAAGGTGGGTTTAACATCTGAAAATCAATTAATGTAATATGTTGTTATTAGACTAAAGAACAAGAACACGATCATCTAACAGATGTTAAGTAAAGAGAAGTCACACACTAAAGACCACATATTGTCCAATTCTGCTTATATAAAATGTCCAGAAAAAGGCAAATACACAAAGACAGAAAGTAGATTATTGATTATCTGGGACTGGAGTGAAAATAAGGAGCAACTGCAAATGGGCACAAGGGATCTTTTGGGAGTGATGGAAATGTTCTAAGTTTGGATTGTGCTAATAGTTGCACAATTCTGTAAATTTACTAAAAATCTTTTAATTGTACATCTAAAAAAAGAGTGAACTGCACGGTATGGAAATTAAACCTCAATGAAGTTATTTTTTTAAAAATAATAACCTAAATTCTAACTACGACACAAGACTATTAACATCTTAAGAGCAAAAAATTCTCTCATCGTGCCATCCTTTATACTTAAAGTGCCTAACAATATGAATGTTGAACTGAAAAATGAACTTGCCATTACTAAATGGTCCTAGTCAATTTTACTAACCAGAATTTTGTTTAGAGCCTGATGATCCTCCATGTTCTAGCTTTGCTTTCTTCTTCTTCGATGATGATAATGTTGACGACTCAGAAGATACTGAACGTTTTTCTACTACAGGAGTGGAAAGAGCTCGTTTTTTGAACAGCTCCCGTTCTCTCAAAAGGCTTGGATCCATAATGCTGCAAACATAAAAATAAGTATCTTTAATACAGATTCCAGTCATTCAAACCTATATGCGAAATCCATAGATCTCAAGAAGAGTTCCTTCCCAAACAAAATTATCTTGTTACTAGTTGTCTAGCACTTGTATTTACTCACTCACTCATGCACTCAAAAAAATCTTTAATTAGTGCCTATTACACGCAAAGCACTGTGCTAGGCACTAGTAAACAGAAACAGAATTATTCTCTAAAACTCTAGAACTGCACTGTCCAATATGGTAGCCACTGGCCACATGTGCCTATTGAGCACCTGAGTGGGGCTAGAGTTGAGATGTACTCTAAGTGTAAAATATACATCAGATGTAAAAGACTTAGTACAAAGAAAAAAGAACATACAAAATTACTAATGACATATTTTAGACGTATTATATGGTGATATGATATTTTGAATATACTGGATTAAGTAAAATATTAAAATTAATTTCCCCTAATTTTTTAAAACTTTTTTAGAAACTATGGCTACAAGAAAATTTTAAATTACACGTGTGGCTCACACTTGCAGCTTACATTGTATTTCCACTAGACAACACTGCTCTAGAAACGACATCAAGAATACTGAGCAGAAATTAGGAGGCAGATTTAGGCTCGTTGCGGGAAAAGAGAAACCATCAGAATTGCTTACAAATAAAAATATATATTTTAAAACAGGTGAACTCTCTATCATTAAGTGATAATAAACTGGATTAATACTTGTTAGAAAATTCCTAATTTGGACAGAAGTGAGACTAGACCTCTTCGGGTTTTCCCCGTTTTAAAACTCAATTCTAAGCAACTTCAATACAACCAGGGAAGCCACAGGTCATTCAACAAGTATTTTAAAACATTCCTCTTTTGTCTGAGCTCTCCCTAGAATCCCATGGAGTCTGGGAAGCACACAAGCTAACTATGTAAGTGATTTTTGCAGTGTTAAAACTAGTTGTTCATAAGCCGGAAAGGAAGGCCCCAGAGGAAAAAGGCTACCTTATAATCTGAAAGCCTTAAAACACAGGGTAGCTCAATAAATATTTGTTAAATGAATAATGAATGGAAAAGCATCTTTAAATTGCTCTAGCCTCATTGTTATTGGTCTCACAAGCCTTTATTAAATGTCCTGTTTGTGAGGCACTGTTTGAAAGGTTCTGGAAAATAAATTTTTGCCTTCAAGCAGCTTACATTTTGAACCTGAAAGCATTGAGCATCTGGTTTAACAATGAATAAATAAAATCTGACTTAGAGTGCTTAAAGTTAAAAATATAAACACTAATAAGAAATAACCAGAATAAACTTCAGTTAAGTAAAAATCTCAGTTAAGGAAGAGTCACTGGCACAGGACCTAAAATCAAAAACCTATCTTCTCCCCTCAGTTCTAAACTCTAACAGCAACATGACCCTAGGCAATCCACAAGACCTCTCTAAATCCAATTTTATCATAAGTTAAAATACTGTCTACATCAAGCCCAACTGTAAGGAAAAAATGAAAAAGCGATTTTTTAAGTGAAGGTATAGAAATATGTTATTTGGGTATTGCTACTTTGAGTTGGATCTGAGAAGAAATAACAATATTATACTGTGGTGAGGGAGAGACCATCTTGGGGGGGAAGGAAAGTGTGAGAACAGAGAGGAGAATTCGCAACTGATAAGGTGGGGGCAACAAGCCTAAAACAGGAAATATGTTTCTTTCACCTTGTAAAACCGGTAGTTAACCTAGGCTTTGAATCACGATTTTAACATAAACTTAAGTGAAAAGCTTTACAGTTTACAAAGACCTAAATGCTTATAGCATTTGATCCTCACAACTCTTGAGATAAAAGGTATCCATTTTATTCCTCTTTTAATATGTAAAATCTGAAGTGAAGAGCTGTGGTTAAGGTCACAACAGCAGGAAGAACTTGGACCAGAACCAGAACCCAAATATCCTAACTACTAAATTAATGCTCCCTGCTCCACACTGAAACACTGGTAAAGCCTCTAAAACACTGTCAAATTTTATTTTTTCACCGCTTTTAAACGAGGTGCTCAATGCTTTCATGTTCTCAAATGTGTGCTGCTTGAAGGCAAGGATTTATCTTTCAGAACCTTTCAAAGCTTGGATGCCTTTACCAGCATTTCAGGTGTGAAGTAGAGAGCACCTAACTTAGGAGTCAAGCTATTCAGATCCGGGGCCAGGACCTTTGTTTTAAAGGCCTTCACTTGCTACTTACTCCACACCTGAAATGCTGGTAAAGGCCTCTAAAAGGTGTGGTACTGATAAAGTCCAAAAGCACCCAGAGCAGAGCAGAAAGGCACCCATCGCATGCTCAGCCTAACTTTTCCTCCCTTTTCAGAAGACCACTCAGTATCTGTAGTCTTCCGTGTGTGGTAGACAGGACACACCACACTGCCCGTTTTACACCGAAAAAATACCACCGCCACAACTCAAGCAGTCCCCGTGTCAAGGACGGGCACCGAGAAGCCAAAATTAAGTCATAATCTTCTGACTCCACGTTCTTCCCAATATATCGTTCGATTTCTACTCGCCTCTGTTGCTGGTGTCGCTGCCTAAGCCTCGGAGGTGCCACGGGCACGGGGAACACTGCTACGAACAGCCGGCCAGCTGACAAGAGACTTGTATCTTCAGTGACAGAAATATAGAAGTGGGAGAAAAACGTACCGCGGCGTTTCGTTTTAGAAATACCTTTCGACTTTGCACAAAACTATTGTAACTAAAGTTTAGGAGTCATTACAAATTAGGTCTCCAAAAGGCAGCTTAAAAAAAAAAAGTCTGTGAACGAGCATCTAAATCACAGTCTTCAGCCAGTTGGACATCGTGGTTCCCCAAACTCCACACACATGCTCAGCTACTGCTAATGTAAACTTGGGGGCTAGGAAGAGGCGATCCAACTGCAAAATTTCCCCTCTCCACCCCAAAAGTCGGCTCAATAAACCGCCGGCCTAAGACAATGCTCCCAAGAAGTTGTGACTGTTTAAGTGTTTCACGCAGAGAACCGCAGCCCCAGCCTCCCTTGGGGTGGAAACGCGCTCGCCCCGCGGGAAGGGGCGGTCCCGAGAAACAGGCCGGAGCCCCGCGCCCCCCACCCCGAGGCGGGAGGCGGGAGCCCCGCGCCCCTCTCCCCTCTCCCCTCTCCTGGCGGCCGCAGCCCCTACCTGAGCGAGGAGGGCCGCCCCACGCGACCGGACACCGCCTCCCTGCGCCTCCGCCTCGGCCAGCCACCCACGCCCGCGTGGCTGCCGCTTCCTGCTCCTAGTCGGCGCCCCGCCTGCCCGAAAGCACGCCCGGCGCTGCCCCTCAAAGCCGGGGTTCAGGGGCTGGCGGCGGAGAGAGACGGGAGAGACTCGTCGGCGAGCCCCGCACGCCACTTCCTGATCAGGTTGCTAAAAGCCCAATCCCGGCAGCCCCCGCGGCGCCCCCGCCGCCTGGAACGCGCGTGCGTCGTCACGTGGCCCGCTAGGGGCGCCGCGGGAGTATAATCAGCCAGCTGGAGCGTTCTGGGTCTCCATGGCAACAGGAGGAGGGCTGGGGCGGGGCTGACGGCGAGATTCAGGTGCGAGGCGAGTAGGAGCCGCCAAGATGGAAAAAATCCTTCCATTTGCAGAAACGTAAACCTGCCAGATCTGCTCAGGAGCCTGTTGAACGCACGTGGCGACGCGATTTTTCAAGGTATTGTCTACCAGGTGTTTTGTGACATTACATCAAATGCAAACGACCAGCATCTAACCTTCAAAGAACATTATTACAACCCTCTCTATTGCAGGTAAGGAAACAAGAGGCCCAGCAAAGCCAAGTGACTTGCGCAAGACACAACCGCCAGTAACGGCGAATCCTGAAATGAAGCCGTTTCTGAACTCCCAACCACCACACGTGTGAACCCTTTTCCACCACACCTGTGAACTCTCAGGAAAGGATTTCGAATTCAGAAGCAACATAAAGGGGTAGAAATAAAGCGACGAGAAAGATTGATTGGCCTTGGCCACAGCCTGTGATGTGCTGGATGGAGTGTGTCCGAGTTCTGTGGCTGTCCTTCCCTCGCTCATAACCCAGAGCGACAGCGCAGCCAGTGCTGAACTGCTCTGTAGCTGCTGTTTACTTACTTAGTACTGGTTACTTCTCGTGTTACTTAACCTGTGCTGGTTTTCTTATTACGAATAGTTGTACTACCACAAGGAATAATTGTACTACCACGATGGCATGAGACTGTTGTGAAAATCAAATGAGATAATACATAAATTTTTATTCAAAATTTGGAAATAAAACCAAAAGATTGTGTGGCTTTTTAAAATTGGTTTCTTTCTAGAAGATTTTTGTAAAAAACCCACCTGATGTTCATCGGACACCCTCAGGAAATGTAACTTTGAATAACAAGTTAGTAGGGCTCAGAGGTTTTACAATCCAGTAAAGCCAGAGATTAACTGGTAAAAACCTTATGAGGTGTAAGGGAGAGGAACAGACAGCAAGTACAAAACATAATCCCAAAGATTAAAATCAAGAAACATGAGCCAGTATTGTATCAATTATTTTGTTGTTGCTGTTAATCCTTACCTGAGGATATTTTTTCCTTTTTTTTTGAGAGAGAGTAGAAGGGGGAAGGGAGGGAGGGGGAGAGAGAGAAACATCCAAGTGAGAGAGACTCATTGATTGGTTGCCTCCCACAGGACCCCAAACCTGGGCCAGGGATGAATCTGCAGTCCAGGTGATTGTCCTTGACCAGGAATCAGTCCCAAAAATAGTCCCTTTGGTGAGTGGACCAACACCGGAACCACTGGACCAGACCAGCCAGGGCTGTATCAAGTAATTTTTATTTCATTCTTCCTTTCTCCAGTGATTATATAAATTCCATTGCTTTTTCAGAAAGAGTAGAAAGGGGAGAGACAGAAAGAAACATGTGAGAGAGATACATTCATTGGTTGCCTTCAGCACATACCACAACCCAGGGCGCAGGGTTCAAGCCTGCAACACAGGTACGTGCCCTTGGCTGGAATAGAACTTGGGACCTTTCAATCCACAGGCCAAAGCTCTAACCACTGAGCAAAAACGGCTAGGTCTGTCATACCCTTGTGGAATCAGTTCTATCATTC